TACCAGTGTATATAGATCCGTGCACCCACAGTAAAAAGCCCTCTTGAAAACGTTACCAAGAACAAGTATGAATGCAATGATGCACTCTGGCTACTCTACACAAATGTTAATTAAATTTTTAAGAGGAATAAATCCCTCCAAACCTGCAACTTCTTTTCTGAAAATTGCAGCCCATGCTCAAAAGAATCTGATTTTGGCTCTTGCCATAGGCTCCACTTTCCTCAGTGTGAAAGAACAGCATGGCATCCGTTAGCACGAGGAGAAACACTCACCTGAACATATTACTGAAACCTCACAATTATTAATCCTCCTTCATTGCAAATCCTGTTTCTAGCCTGTCCCAAAGATCATAAAAGTCAAGGGTTATGGCAATTCCCTGGCATTCTGGAGTAAGTCTCCACTGAGGAAGTTATCACCCGCTGGCCAGCACAATTTCACCTAAAGCCTTGTGGCAGGCTCTGGGCCTGTGTGAGGGCCTGCACCGCAGCAGCCACCAGGCAGAAAGGCTGAGCTGGAACTTCACTTCTGTGAAGGTGGGCACTGGTAAGCCAGGTAACTTTCAGCAGTTTAAATGCATTACTTGCCCTTACAGTGAAGCGGCTGCAGAACTCACTTGTGTTCGTGAATAAATGGACTGTAGAAAAGCTGTAGGCTTGTCTATACTGCATTTTTGTTTTCCTTATACTGGGCCCACTGCAAGTTCCCTAGAGTTCAGCAGTAGTTAGACTGGATGAAAAGTGGAAGCAGACACTATGATTTTCAAGGAACCACTGGGAACACATGCTTTTGTAGGCTTTTTTGTGTCTAACTTTGCCTGATGTGGTGCAAAGAGCTAGAGTACAAAGAAGTAAAACCTTGTGAAGCCTTCCAAACTGGGCCTTTTACAGCCATGTACACACACACACACACACACACGTGTATATATATATATCTATCCATAAATGGTGGAAAGACTGAAACAGTAGCTTTTTTTGATTGTTCCGTCTTCATAAACCAAATCATACATGGTTTCAGTTATATTTTTTAAGAGGCACCCAAGAGTTTCTCTGCAGTGTTTTCACTTAACATAAGAAGCTGCATGAGAGAAGACTCTCTGGCCACCATGACAACTCAGAGAAACTTCATTCACATCCAGAGGACTCCCACTTGCTAGGAGGCTGAACTTGCTCCAAGCCAGGGGCGAGGCCCCTACCAGCGTCGGTGGGGCACCACCGAGGCACGCAGCAGGAACTGCACGCTGTTGTCTGACTTCTTGAGGAGCTGGTATGGGGCTTTTTTTGGTCCACAGACCTTTATGACTTGCTAGGTGAGAGATTTTAGAAGTGAAGTGTAACAAGGAGTTTGAGCATGAGGTGTCACAAAATTAAAATTCTACAGCTTCTCAAAGAAAAAGATGGTAAACAGGAAAAGAATATACATCTATACAGTGTGCACACATGTATACACATATACTCCTGTTTCATGCAGAAAGCTTTCTAAATAAAAACATACAAAAATTAACCAGTGCCATACATTATGTAAACTCACAAGGTGTACTTTCAACATAAATTTGAAGCATAAATTAAAAGAGAGCGAGAAAGAGAGAGAGATAGAGACGACAGCAAAACATTTTAAATATAGAATTTGCACAATTGGTATTTTCGTTAAATAAGAATAAATAAATTCATTACATCCGTTCACATACCAGTTGTAAAAACAATAAATTATTTTATTTTTTCAGTGCTGTGTTGCTTTTTTTTTTTCTTTTTACAATATTGATTAATCCACAAGATTATTCCCTCTCCCCCTTGTGATAAAACTGTTTCCACAGGAGGGCAGCTAAATTTCATTTCTTGTATACAGTCAAACCAAAGATGCTAGGCTTTTTTCCTAGTGAGAGAAGCAGGTGTTCTAAAAACCACTGATGCTTAGGGGTCCAACTCCACCCCAGGGCAATGGAGATGTGTCCCAAAATGTCAGCAGTGAATTTAACAGCGAGGAGTAAGGATTTCTATGCAAAGAGAAATAGTCCAGGTTTCTATCCCCTAGATGCATTTTCTGGATCCTATTTGGCAACACTTGGTAATAATGGAAACGATGATGCAGCAGTGTGAGAGACAAGGAATTGAGATGAGAACAGAAGTTGCAACAACACAGTCAGATACCTTGCACCAACCTTTCATTCAGAAAGAGCTCTGGCTGACAGCAAAGTTTGGAATGGGAGTGCGAATACAAAGAACAGCTAAAACCCAGGTGTTAACTAGAGCAGGCTGACCTAGTGTATCTCATGCTTCCAGGGTTGCCTCCTCAGTCTGTCCTCTTTGCCCTCTCACCATATAAAGGCAACTGCTTTTTTCACATGTTAATTTGCTTCAATACTACACTAGCGAAAAGGGAAAAATCACTATAGTGGTTTGTTCTTGTACTTATTTCTCATAAATAAACTCTTTCTATGAAAAACATATACTTGATCTAAGGAAGTTTTAAATTTATACCCGTGTATGGTATTATACTTCTGGAGCCTTAACAGCACCCAAAAGCTTTATTCATCCTGCTGAATATGTAATAAATTATTACTATGATGCAAACACAAATATTTGCACATTCTGTCTCTGTTACTGCAAAACACAGGAAAAACAAATGCCACTTAATACAGCAGCTGTGTGCCGAGACAAAAGTTAGGCCTATGCTGAGACACGTTGTCTCCTGATTTTTCCTCTCATGACATTTTCTATTTGCTATGAACTTTCTTGAGAGGTTCTAGAACATGTGTAATACATAAATAAGTATAAAAATCAGATTATTTGAAAGGAAAGTAAGACACTTCAAAGTGATCTTACATTAACATAGGTAGAGAATCTTTCCAGAACTCTGCAAATATGCAGAGCCCTGATCTCAGTTCTTAGGGTGGGATCAGAGACTAAGTGGGGAATTTTACTTAAGGTCCACAGTTTTGTGTAGGACTACTCCTAAAAGGAAGGCCACACCGTTTTGAAAAGCAGAAGATGACTAGCAACATTTGCTGGTAATTAATTTTGACAGAGATTACTGTTTGTTTTGACAGACGTTACTGTTTATTTAGAAGAGGGAACAAAAATAGATACTTCTCCAGGTTTCTCACTTGCAGATGTAGCAATTCTATGCTGTCTTGAAATCATCACGTGCTTTCTAAGAGTTCACACAAACACGCCACAGTTCCAAAAACATGTTTGTGTCAGCCTGGAGTGAGACCTGCCCTTCTTGCTACACATGCCAACAAGTTTTCTCTACTGACTTCCTGACTGGGATTTTCAGAAGAGCCGGCGGCATTTCGGCACTCGAGTACCACTGACTTAACAGCTGAGAGGCTTGCCTGAAAATCCTCCTGCAGTCTCATACTCTCCTCTGTGGATGAACAAAGCAATAAAAGACAGATGGGAGTCTATTTTCATCAGGATATGATAACCAATTCTTTCAGTACCTGTCATCCTAGGGCTTAATTCAAAGCCTGCTGATATAAAAGGAAGCAACTTTAACAGGCTTGCTGTCAGGCCTCCACCTGTTCTTCCCTGCATAAGGTGAATGCCCATCCTCAGCCACAGAACGTGCACCAGGCAGTAATCGGATTCGGAAGTTGCTGCCAACGAAAACCATTACCAGCTACTGCCTGTACTGTGGAAACAGTCTTATTGATATTGGGCAAGTCCTCCACATCCTGATGTGGTTTGACTTCCCAGTGACCTTTCTTCCGCCCAAATGTGGTAGATATACAAAACATGAATGCCTTCTATAGCTTTAAAAAAACCCCAAGACACACACAAAACAACCGAAAAAGACGAATAGTTACAAAGTTATGCTGGTAAGATGAATACCAGAGTTAGACATGATGGACAAAACACTGATAAAGTATTAACTGCTTGCTGTGTTTTTTTGACCTTTGTAGTCTCTTCAGAAGATGTAAGTACATTACACGTTGTTAGATTCAAAGTGGAAGCCATGGAGAAAATACCAGAGAAAGCAGCTGAACTCAGCCTCAGAATATCTGAGTTAGAAGACACTTGATTATCTTACTTGTAATTTTTGGTTCTCTAACTAGTTTCTACAAAATACAGTATGCCTTTGTTTTACGGAAAGAAGCTAGCAGCTAATGTTCATCGACAACAAGGACCCCAAGCTGTGACACAGCTGGAACTAGTGGAAGGTTTATGAGAAAAGTGTACACAAATTCCTCCTAGCAGCCAAATCCTCCTTCGGTGTGTGTCCGACATACACGTGGTGAGGAGCTGCTGATAGTGCACGTGTGGGGACCCCTGGTCTGCGAGCTGCTGCAGTGCTCCTGAGAATTTCTTGGTGGAAACACAGTATTTGCCATAGAACAATGATCTGCTGTCAGGAAATTCCTAGCATGAAAATATTTCCTTTTGTCAAAACCAAAAGGTATTACTTGTTAAAACCAGCAGCAAGCTTTTCATTTTCCAGTAAAACATCTGTGGCCCTTTCCAAAGAGTGGACCAAGTCCACAAGGGCTGCAGATATACTTTGGTCAATCACTTTGCCTATGTAGTTTGTCTTTTGATTTTTTAATAGAACGGAGTGATATAAGGTGATATACCAAATGAAAAATATTTACAAAACAGTATACAATAAGCTACTGTGGTATCATGGGTGCATGTGACATTTTCTAAGGACATACTGTATTAGAGGTAGGTGAAAAAGGGGAGATGATTCTGTAACCTTCAAATACCCCAGGATCCTCCATTCACTAGTTTTTCTTCTTTTACATTATTTTATTTTATATTTTTGCAGACACAGAGGGCTTGTAACAGCTTTGATGCTCACTTTTCTGACACATTAAGATCACCCTACTATTATTTAAAGCAGTGCACATCTTCATTTGGTCCAAATAGGCAGATTCTGCCCATAATTTGAGGCTGCAGGTAAGTACATCGAAGCCTTCGCTTCTCTCTGTCTGGGCAGACCTAATACCAGTATGTCAACAATGGCTTAATTAAACCTCTTTTAAAGAAGATCACAACCACAGGTTAACACTTTTTCAACAAGCACTGTTTAAATGCCGACGGTCTCTGAGAGAGAAGACATCCCTTAGCCAACTTTCCATGCCCGTCTTTGCACTGGACAGTCCTGGTGTGCCATCCCGTGTCACACGTTCGAGAGCAAGAGAGCCACGGCCCCGTGACCCAGCGGGGCTGCGTGAGCTCTGGAGTTACTTTGCTGCCGCCGCCGCCGCTGCTGGGAACAGAGTTTGCCATTTGCCCGTGCTTCTTCGGCACGAAGAAACTGTAGCGCACGTCCACCGGCTGCGCGGGATCGGTCGCGAGGATCTGCACGATGAGGACCTCTTTTGTGGCAGAGTGCCCCATGGCGTGCAGGAAGTCGTCTTTGTGGCTCCAGCCGCTGTAGTTCATGACGGTTCCGTTGATGTCAATGATGGTTTCAGAAGTGGAGATCATGTATTTTCCATTGACAAGGTACTCACCGTTTTTCTTCTTCAGGGCCAGGTAGGCAGTGAACCTGCTCTGGTCCTTAGTCTTGAACTGCCGAACTTTGATGTGAGTTGCCCCCTCCGGGATTTTCACGACATCTGTGTAGCCCTTGCTGAATTGAATTAAAAAAAAAAGGAAGAGTATTCAGTAGGTAGCGTGAAATGAGCCTCGAGTCGTACCGCGACACCCAATGAAGCGTGGCACGTGGCGTGACACGTTTCGTTTGAGTTCAGGCCCTGAATCCACCTGGGTTGAGTCTCATCTAAGAATAATCTCCATTGTCTACTGCACTGTTCTTCATGCTCTTGAAGAAATTTCTACTGCGCTTATTTCAAGTTGCTTAATCTTTAGCTTTAGCAGCAACTCTACGTGAGTCAGAGGCAAGAGGAATGAAAAGTAACAGATAGCTTATATGTTTCAGCAAAGGGTGGGAGATAGGAAATACGATGCACGCCTTGCCTGCCAAGGAAAAGATAATGAGATATGCGTTGGCTACAGCTGTTTCTTGCTGGTTCTGCTATAATGATGATCAAGGAAAGCATGAGCAGAGCAGCAGCTGGGTAGAGGTACCTTGGGAACATTCAAGAATAATCCTGGTCACTGCGAAAAAAATTGTTTATTTCGAAATACATAAACCCAAAGATGAATTGTCAAGTGTCTAACATGAGGTGCACGCAAATATCTCATCTGTACCATCACAGAGTTGCTACTGATGAAGTATCTTAATTCAAATTTAGAAAAGGTATTTAACTCTTCTACCGGAAGTGACATGCATTCGAGACCTGCCAGTGTTCTGTACCTTAGCACTATGTCAAGTATGTTATTTATTTTAAGTTTACTGATACACAGAAAAAAATGTAAAGACTATACATAGGTATAAGCCACCAGCTGGGCTTTGAAGACATGTATCTTCATTTCTAAACCTGTGACAAAACCATTTTGCAAGTATCTCATATCTGAAAAATGTAGTGCTGAGACTTACAGGAAAAAAAGAATGAGAAGATAAACTAAAAGTATACAAAAGTGAAAGGGTCTCCTTTGGCACTGTTTAAAGAACAGACAACTAATTTTGAGAATTTCTGTCTGCACAAGTTGAGACTGCACAAACTACAGATTAAATGCTTGTGCTATTCCCTAGCTACTTCCAGCAGTTATGAGACAACAACCAAAACTGTATTGATTTAGCACTTCCATACAAGTGCAACAAACAGGGTGGGGGAGACAACTCTACAGCGCTGCACAAAGATTTGTATATAACAGTTGTCAAAATAACGGCGTTAAAACATGTTATTAAAGTTACAAAACCATTTGTTCAAAAATTAAAAGCAATGCTGGAGAATTCAAGTCATCTGCACGAAGAACTGTAACACCCCATCTGCACAAAGCACATGCAGCTTTAATTCTCCTCTTTTCCAACTTTTGACAATTTGGCTTTACAACCTCTTTAAAAAAGTTCTTAGGACACAAGTTTTGCAGAAGACTATTTTTGACTGTTTCAAAAGAAAAAAGTACAAACAAATTTTGTTATTGGATTTGTCTGCAATGGGAAATACCAGTTTCTCTTTGTATATTGAATAGTTTCCCTGTACATTTAATGTACAGATTGCCACAATTTGGTTTATAATGGACAGCAATGCAGAAGCTGCTATTTTTCAGGGGACAAAAGCTAATTTTACTACAGTCATTGCCTTTTCATGTGTAAAAACAGTTTACAGGTAATTAAGATTTCACCATTTTAATGAGGGGTTTATTTTAAAGTTGATTACTCACCTAAGAGAACTATCCCAAGTAAAAAAATAAATCCTTGTCACTCCAAAATTCAATCAAAATCAAGTTAGAATATACCTCTTACTTACAGGTTGACTATTACCTTCTAAATGGGACAACTTTTTAAATGCACTGAGGATGAATTAATATTTTACTCTCTGATCAGTCTCATTTCAGTTAAAGGCATGATTTGAGGAGTAAGATGGTAACTCCATAGGAATAATTATAATAGAATCTCTCCAATTCCAAGCATATCTGGGCTACAAATCTGGCCCCACTGAAATTCATGGAGTCCCTTTAACATTTTTGCCGGAGTCTGGATTCCAGCACGAGGATTGTTACTGCATCACATGAAGTATTTCTCACACTGTCTTCTTCATTTAGACTTCCCAAACATTTCAGTATTCACAAATGGGAAAATATTTGGTTTATATAATTACTAATTTGGCTGGAAAGTCTTTCCTTTTGGCAGAGATATTTTGGCATCCGTAGGTGTGTAATCACTGGTTTACCAGGGAGAAGATTAGTTACATTTATTTTTAGAATAAATTCACTCTCAAAGGCATTTTTCACTGCTATTAGTCAGTACGTTGAAATGTATAGAAATAAAAGGTCATTTCAGGAGTCAGATTTCAACTTCTGGTAGCTTTCAATATGCTATGTAAGAATGTGGAAGGCATAAAATCAAGTTTATGTACATTTTTAAAAACGTAACACTAATTTAGTCACAGATACAGAGTAGAAATTGTAAACTGAAAGTTTCTAAGAGTAGATCACTACAGTCCTTTGAGACCTTGGAAATCTACAGAAATGATAATCAAAAATCCTCATTTTTCTGTGAGCCTTAAGACTTAAAGAGGGAGGGAAACAAGAATTCAGACAGAAAGCAGATGTAATTGACATCGGTATCTCAGTATAAAGCTTACTGCTGCCCTCAAACGTGGTCAGGGAAAACCATGAGGGCAGATCCTTTATTTTGCTTGTAGTAAGTTTTATTATAGTTAAAAGCTGACCTCTGACAGAAAAATATCTATACTGCTATAAATGTTTTGACTTAAAAAAAAATCCACCTGGAGATCAATATTGTGCCAGTGGACAAGAAGGGACATGGCAAAAACCATGCTTAAGCCTGTGTTTACTTCTGATATCTCATCTAATTACCTAAGCTCCATATACACTTAGCAGTGTGAAAAGGTATTTCTAGGGTATAAACCCTCTCAGCCACTAAGGAAGACTTTTACAGATGTGCTCTAATGCTCTCTGCTTCTCTCTACTGACTGTGCAAGGAAACCGTGTCACTAAATCAGGTGAGATGTCCTCACTGTCACTCAAAGTTAGATGAGATGAAAGGAAATGTTCTCAGTGTGTAACTTGCTAACACAGCAACCCCTGGGAAATGCAGAGTTTCAGAGATACCCAGATTATTCTGACCCAAACTACTTTCTGATTCACTCTTCCCTTCCCTCTTTCTTCTAGAAACCACAAGCCATCTGACACAGCAAGATTAGCAAGGAGGACGAGATGCTGTGTGTTATTCAAGGCAGTCTTCCTATTAATGGGGTGCTCAACTCTACCACTAGCACCCTGTATCAGAAATTAACCGGGTCCCGTGTTTTTTTTCATTGGGTTACTTGCCAGTTCTGGGGTAATGTTAAGAGACCAGCTGTAAACATCTGGAAAGTGCAACAAAGCACAGGCAAAGTACGTTTTGCATTTCTGCATAGGAAAGTAAATGGCATTTAGAGACAGAAAGAAAGCCAGCGCATAGCAGAGTTACTATTTGCACAACAAAGAGAGAAGCTGAGTACCTCCTCTTGGTGTAGGTTCCCATGACCTTCGTGCAGCTGGAGTTGTCTCCTCCGCACACGCCGCACTTGTCGTACTGGAGCTTCGAGCCGATGATGCCGTCGCAGCCCGTGCGGACGCACCGGCCCCGCACGCACACCGAATTGCTGTACGGGCGGCACTCGGTGCCGTCAGCCACCTGCCGACCGAGGGACCCGGAGTTAAACTACAGGGCTTGCTTTTGTGGCCCTACTGGCAAAACACAGTCACTTGCTCGTGTCACCTGCTCGGAGCAGAGCTCCTACCCTGACAGGCCAGACTGAGTTTCTCTAACACTCCCAGCACAAAACCAGACGAAATTTAGCAAAGGGTTGAAAGCAATGACGGGTAACTTCACTGTAAGACGCTAAAATGACCTGGGCTTTAATGCTGATCTCACAGCTTATTAATAACAATAACAATAACAATACTCTTAGATAGCCTTGCATCTGAGCTATCTGTCTACATCTAAATATTACCTTCATAATATTTAGACGCAGAATATAAACATGGGAAATATTTCAGTTCCACTTGCATCTGACAAACTGACCGCCAGTTACATCTATACTAATGGGCTAGCTTTATAGCTATATAGCTATATATTAATTGGCTCCATAAGAGTTACTCTGGACTCCCTTAACATAATACAGGTTAAAATACATTCTTTTACTCATAGCACTCTTTCTCCTCCAGAAAACCCTAGTATGACAGAAGACTCTCCAAGTAGAAACCCCTTTATCCACTGCTGAAAACAAACCAGTGAAGAGCACAATAAGAAGCCCATATTTTTCATGAATCCACATACTGAGATGTGGAAAAAATTATCTCATTTTTAGAGGCCATTTCTGGCCCCATTGCATAACCAATGGATCAAATCACCAAATCTTATCACACAGTTACATCATTAAATTATACGATTAACCTCTTTTCCCTTGTTGTAGGGAAGGATTTTGAAAATACAGGATGTTTCTTAACTGAAGAATGAGGTGATGATTGGAGATGCCATTACCTTCTGAGAAAACACAACGTAGTAGCCAGTTCCTTTGGCTCGGCAGGTGAGCTTGCAAACGTCTCCAGGAAGCACTCCGGCGTACTTGGGGACCCATTCAACAAACGTCTTGACACCCTTTGCATCAGACTGATAGCCATTCCTTGCTTCACACTGCTCTTGTCGAAAAGATTTAGCTGTAGAATTATTCACATCATTAGTGACTATTTCAGACCATGCTGCAAATATCATTAAGCCCGTCTACTATTCATAGAATCACAGAATTGCTTAGGTTGGAAGGGAACCTAGAGATCATCTAATCCAGCCTCCCTGCCATGGGCAGGGACGCCTTTCCAATTTCTTTTTTACATTACTTTAAAGTTACACTACTTCACCTCTTCACTTAGAACTGGCCTTCGAATCCTTCAACTGTTTCAGCTTGGAAACCTTCCTATGACTTAATAAGCATTAAAGGGCTAAAGTCTGCATTGCAGTTCATTTTCCAGGACTGAAATTTCTTCTCATTCAAGTGTCCTTTCTGTACGGCGTCAGGGTGGGGACGGGGAAGAGTTATGGTACGGTATTACCGGTGAAGGTCTTCCCCAGTAAGTGCACTTTGGAGCAGCTACAGTGGACCCTCGCCGTTCCCGTTCGCGGCAGCGGCCCAAGACCCGCTCCCCGGGCAGGGGGCGGCCGGTGCCCCGGCGCAGGGGGGTGGCA